CTTTGAGTTCTGAACTGATTATATGATACTGGACTATGGTATTTGGATCATCCCTTAACTGAAAGACATTGATGACTGACTGTCATCAGTGACCTCGGAAGGATGGAGGGCTGAGTCAACCTTGAGCCAGTGAGATCTGAACTGCCAAACTGCAGCTAGCAGTCAGCTGAAGTAGCCTGCAGTACTGCACTCTAACCACTGCGCCCCCTTGGCAGAAAAGGTCGTGTGGGTGTGGTGTGGGTGTGGTGTGGTGTGTGTGCATGTGTGTGTGTAAGAGATCCTTTCCCTCCTCCTCCACTTCCCACGGTGCCGGCCCAGCTGCCCAGCAGACTCACTTGACGTAATGCTTATGCAGCAAAGGCAGGTTCTCCTGGAAGAGGCGGAGGTAGCTCTCCAGGGAGTTCTCGTTCAAGGCCAGGTACAGCCACGCTCGGCCTGCAAGAGGAAGAGAGAGAGAGAGACTGCCTTGCAGGACTGTCTGTCTGTCAGGGATCAACCCGAAGGAAGGCCGCCCTGAGCTGATCTGACTGGGACCTTCTCTTTTTATAAAGTTTTTATTTATTTATTTTTAAATATGAACATCCCACCTCTTCTTAAACAGCGGGTAGAAATATCTCTGTGCGATAACCATCTGAATTTACAGCATCGTTCACTACGTTAATATTAATTCTCTAATCTTACAATTAAACAACTGAGCATAGTAAACCTGTTCATTTCCCCTCTCTTTACGTATCTTCTAATAAGAATATAATAATAACATTAAGCATAATAATCCTCATAATCATACTAAAACTAATACATAATATTAATGGCTGGGACCATCTCAACAGCAGTGCGTAGAAACCCCACCTCTGATGCTCAAAGCCTCAAGTGGGGGGTAGCAGGAGGTGACTCAGAACCCCCTCGGGTGCCAGGCTGACTCCTCTGCGGGCTTGTCCGGCTATCAGCCCATTCGGGGAGCAATCTACTTCCCAGACTTCTAACTGGAAAGATTGGGAGCTCGGAAACCTCATTAATAAACAAGCCACAGATCCTCAGGGGAGGGCAGATGTGTTCTGACCGAGGCTTCCCAAGAGCCTGTAGAAAATTCCTGGTCCCACCAAAAACCTCTTTTATTAATTTCCTGTGAATTCTGCTCCTTCACATCCAGCAAAGTCTTTCGAGGGAGGATTTACGGTCACAGACCTTATCTGGCTTGGAGAGCTGCCAGGC